AGAAAAATTTATACCTTTATGATAAAATAAACGAGAAATATGAAGTTTTCTTTACTTTTCGCACGCTTGTGTCATAAATATTGACCTTTCCGCACCAAGACAAAGATAAGTAAGCACTGATGAACATCTTGAGCCCATTTTACAGAGGGTCTTATGACTTAGACCAAAATTAAATTTTGCTAATAACTTTCTTATTTGCATGAAATTGAAAATGGTTTCAAACTTTTTAAAATGAATGTAGAAAGATATTTTCATGATAAAATTTTTAACACAATTATCGTTAATTTTGTTCACTTTTACTAAAGTGTTTTAGTCGTAAGTTCTTATATAAAACGGGTCCTGAACATAAAACCATTTTATGGAAAATATTCTGTTTTGATTAGTAACAATGTACACTGATTAAATCTTTTCTTCTTGATTCCATCATTGTTTCTCCCCCTCCCCCTTTTCCCCGTCAACAACCAACACATATTAGAACGTAGAAATGGCTTTACAATTAAATTTACTGATCAATAAGCAAATATAGGTACACGTACGTTTAATTTTTTTTATGTTTTATCGAGAAAATACAATTAATGTTTAATATAGAATATTAAACATATTTTCCTGATTTAATCCATCGCTTTCTTTGCTGAATTTTATCTTATGCTTTTGCACTTATATCAGCATATTATCGAGGTATTTTTTACAACTCAAATTGCCATGAATTATCAACCAACGCAAGAGCATTGCAATATGAACAAACTCTAAATATCAAACAAAACTTTTATTATTGCGCGTGATGTATAAATTTTCTTTTTGTTAATTGTGTGCATTATTGACTATTAACAATGTTAGGCCTATATCACAGTTGCGAAAGAGAAACGTCGCTATTGTGACGTCAAATAACGCTGCTCTGACGTCAAACGACATAGGTCCCCCCTTAAAGTCATTTTACGTAAGTTCTATGGTACATACAATGACCTTGTCAGCACATACAATTTATCATTGAGTCAAATGCTGACTGATGATTTTCATACTAATTGTAAGTCAATTATTTACACACTGAACTTTCCTTTATGTCCCGATCATGACAGGTGTGACCGGTCGGTAGGAGATGCTCACTCATTCATGACACCTGATCCCACTTCTGATGTTTCGGAGGTCAGTGTTTGCTCTGCTTCTATTTTGTATTGTTTAATGGACTTCTGAGCTTGAATACTGATCGTTATCTCAATTTATTTCAAGTAGCTATTTAATGTTTTTCATTGTCAAATGGTTAAAAAAAAAGCACTGTGACTTCACAAAAATTATACGAGGGTTGTTCAATAAATAATGTCCTGAACTGTATGACATACAATACAGATATCATATGAAATTAAGCTTGACTTTTTCGCATTATTGAATGTTTATTGAATTTATAAAAATTTATGTGACCATTTTTCATCACACAGTTTCATTGTGAGAAGCTAAAAACAAGGGCTATTTGAGACACTGCATTAAAAATGAATGGTAAAGAATCAGTAAACTAGAATGAAATTAAACGCTTCGTTAAAGCTGCTGTAAAACTCGTTAAGAACCCCAAAGAAATATTCACTGAAATGAGTAAAATTTACTGCAACGAATGTCTGTTTTATAGACAAATGAGCAGGTGGATTTCATTTCGGGAGTAGTTCAAACAGTTTTAAAGAAACGTTTGACAGTAAAAAGCTAAGTACTCAAAGGTCACCCTATGTTTTGAAAAATGAGTGAAAACGACAGCGTGTAAGAATATCTTAACAATTTTTTTTTTAAATATCAGTAATTGTTGTTATCCACGTTTGTCTGAAATTCAAACAGATAATGAAACTTGAATCTATTGCTTAAAACCCTCAAAATGAAATTTACAATAAGATTTACTTGACAAAAAACAGCAAAGGTCTGAGAAGAGCAAAGAATTGCAAAAGCACAAAGACAGGTTTATATGAAATTTTCTTAAATATTAGTGGTCTTGTTGTTCAAATGCGTATTCAGGGAGGCAGTTTAATTTCTGGAAGAGTCTAGAAAGCAAGTTTTTGCAAAAAAAATCGAAAGGTTAATGAGGGGAAGGAACCAGAAACAGGAATCCACTACATTAAAATTCTTCATGACAGCGTCCAAATCCGCATGCCCTGAAGAGTAAAGGGGTTTTTGGGATAAACAGGAAGTTATCTTTTTTATATTAAAATATTCGCCAGATCTTTCGTCTTTTGACTTGTTTCATTTTCCAAACATTAAAAAACACCTTTCAGAAGGAAGAAACGAGTCCAGGAAATCATAAGATCTGCCATTTTCCAGTATACTAAGGGTCATACCCAAAAATGGGTTCTAAAAACAATCAGAAATTGGATAAAAAAATTTACGGACATGTGTTTTAATCAAAAGAGAATATTAAGTTAAATCATGAAGACTAAATCATTGAAAAGCGCCTTTTGCTTCTTTCGAGCACCGAGGATATTATTTGTTGAACAGCCCTCGTGGCGTCACAATGATATTTATGATAATAAGATTTCATGAGCTTAACCCGCTGTTTAAAAGACTTAGTTTAACGTGTAAAAAAGGTTTCTAATAATAATTCATTTAATTTTATTGTGTTGTTTGTAAGGATATATTCGACACTGCACGCGCACTGACCATCAGGTGAATATGGCATCGAACTCAATGAAAAAGAATTGTAATAAATATACGGACAATTTTTTTGGTAAATATAAAATACGGACATTAGAAATGCTTTATAATAATGTTTGATATTCTCTTAAATAATAATATTGTCTCTGATTCTGTTTTAAATCAAATTATCACAAAATCTAATGACCGGAAACTATTTAGGTGGCCAACTGTGGTTTCTTTTTGGTACTTTTAAGAATCATACATCTTACATAAACCCAGTTATAGTTTAGATCATAATCTACATATTTCATATCAATCTATTAAATAATTTTTTTCGACGTATACATGGTAAAGTATTGATAAATGTTAATTTAAAATATGGCCATGTATCAAAAATGTAGCATAATCATAATTTATAAATTAAAAGGTAATGAAACTCTTTATATCAATTTAAATTATAAACATCAAATTCCATGTTTGGCTGATAACAAAACAAAATCTTATTGATGCACAATCATGAATCGTGAATTGCGTTCCCCTACAAATTATTAACTCGTGGAAAGAATTCAGATCTACAGATTTTAGTTTTTTTTCTTGGAAGCACCTTTTCAGAATTTGAATTCAGTCTTTGTCATTAAAATGAACTTAAAAAAGTTTGTTTTTCTTTTTCTTTTGACCTCTGTCAAAATGATTGAGCATTTAGTTTACCAACTTTCAATAGAATCTAACATTTCTTCAACAAATTGTTTAAGATGCATTCCATGCAAGATCAAAATTGAATAATATATGGATAAAAACTTCCCATTTAACGCCTAATGATATTGGACCAAGCATAAAAGGAATTAAAGATGGTAGACCAATACAAACACACCCTAACCAATGTTGTAATGAAAGATTGTGTGTAATGAGAGATTGTGACCTGTTCCCATCCTAGAACTATAAAAGACTCAGGATTTTTGGCAGGAAGCATTCTTGTTACTACACAGAATCGGATCGCAGGTAAGTGCAATTTTAATATTCAAGATTGGAAAAAAAACATTTAAATGATTAACTAAATGTATAAATAATAATAAATTATGAGAATAAATGTGAAAAGATTTGTTTATGCAAAATCTACTAACTTAAAAATCTTCACAAAATTATCCTTGAATCTTATTTTTTACGAACACAAAAATTAATTGAAAGATTAAAGACAAAAGTCTTGGAATTATACCTAACAAAAAATAGGATGTTCATCGTTACTAAAAAGATTATCAAATGGAGATATTTTTCATAAATAACATATGAATCGTGTCGTTCAATTTTTTTCATATTCCCTTTTTAAACGTCTTAAATACTATTGCCTTCCTAGACAGGATATTTTAACAATGTTTCATATTGGTCCGAACCTATAAAAACGTTCAAAGATTTTAAAAATGATGATAATGTGTTTACAGTCGAAATGAACGCCTTGGTTGTGTTAGCCTCCATTCTGGTCTCCTGTAATGCGGGTTACGAGTTTATTACATTTTTAACAGTAAAATACTGTAATTTATTCATTGAATAAAAGTGATATCCTGTCACAGTGTGAAAGGATATCAAAATGATATCCTGTCACAGTGTGAAAGAATATCAGAAGTGCGGGAAAACTTTCGATTTTCCTTCCATTCACCAAAAGTGTTGTAAAAATACTCCTTAACCTATTATAAGGTAGAAAACGAGTTACGTTTACAATGTTTTTCACTTAATAGCTATGACGTCTCAACCACTCAACTATGACGTCATGTACCTAAGACTGCATTACAAAAAACATCTAGGCAAAGGGAAAATCAAAGAAAATGTAATAAACAGAAAATTCAATGTTTTGTAGCTGAATATGGAATATATTTCACTCGTGAGACAGGATTTTTTTGATATTTTCACTCTAGCTTCGCACTCGAGAAAATATAAAAAAAATCCTGTCCCACTCGTGAAAAAAATTCCATATTCAACTACAAAACATTGAATATCCTCTATTTATTCATTTCCTCTTCCGAATGGTTAAGTAATAAATGTTGCATATGCAAATTGTGAAGGCTTAAGGATCTTTACAGAATTATCCTTGAATCTTAATTGTAGGAATGCAAAAATTCACTGAGAGGTTTAAGACAAAAGTATTGGAATTATAATGAACCAAAACGGGATGTTGTTTATCGCTACTAAAAAGATAATCACTTTCAAACATTGTGCAAAAATTACATAATTATGAATAGCGTCCCTCAACTTTTAATTTTTCTTTTATATTTACTTTTTAACGTCTTTAAAAACAGTCGACTACTGAGAAAAGGCTTCAACATTTTTCTTTTTTGAATTTAATGCGAACCTATAAAAGGTAAAAAGATTTTTAAAATCATGGTAATGTATTTACAGTCAAAATGAACGCCTTGATTGTGTTAGCCTCTGTTCTGGTTTCCTGTAATGCTGGTGGTAGCTACGATTCAAAAGGAGCTCATCATTACGACTATGGGGGACATGGCGGAGTATATGGAGGATTAGGAGGAGCAGTACAAGGAGTAGGAGGAGGACTGGGAGGAGGACAAGGGGGTTTCGGTTTCGGAGGGGGGCTATTAGGAGGAGGAGGGGGTCTAGGAGGAGGAATAGCGGGTCTCTGAGGGGGGCTGTTAGGAGGAGGAGGGGGTCTAGGAGGAGGACTAGGAGGAGGATTTCACGCAGGTACCTAGCAATTTTTTCTCTCCAAAGAACGATAAAAAATGTATGTACGAGGCATGCATTTATATTTTTTTTTAGTTGCAATTATACTTCTGATGTGAGTATCGTGTTACACATTGGGATAAAAACAATCCAGATATCTGTGACAAGGGTATCATGTTTTTCATCAAAATTGTAAGAAGCATATTTAATGTTAATTGTGAAGTATTTTGGAAAGGAAAAAAGGTGAAACATAATTTTGTTTGATAACATATTATATCAAATTTTTTTCATCTGTTTGACCTTATTTTCAAAAACCTGTAGATTTGGTACACCCCCAGCGAAAAAATACTAGTATAAACTGTGGAATTTTGTTTATTACAGTAAAAACTTTGGAACTTTGATTCACTATAGTAAAAAACTTTGGAACTTTGATTTACGAGTACTATAGTAAAACTTTAAAACTTTGATATATTGTAGTAAAAACTTTGAAACAATGATTAGTGAAAACTTAATATAGTGAATAAGTACTATAAAACCCGTAATGATAGCTATCCAGGTTCAATCAAGGGTGTACGGGGATATTACCCCGGGTTTTATTCCATACATCCTGAGGCCGAAGGTAAATCCCCGTACACCCTTGATTTGACCTGGATAACGAATCTATTTCCTGTGTACCCATAAAAATTCTTCGTAAACATCAGAGTCTAATCAACTGTGTCTCAATCTATCGGTAAGAAAACCACGAACTACAATGCATCGTGACGCCATGTTATTTGGTTTTTAGCCTAGAGAAAGTATGCATTGTGACGTCAAGTTTTATTTACCCCCGGCTCAAGTTGGGTGCACGGAAATTTACATCCGACTCTGTAACCAATCAAAGCTCGTGTTACAAGCAACATAGGAAAATGTTTTTGATCCCAGTTATGCACAATTCATATGATTTTTCAAGGTAAAGATTCATTAAAGCTTCAGAAACCTTTTTAAAACACGACCCGTCCCCCCAAAAAAATAATGTAAAAAAAAAAAAATTAATGTAAAGGTTGTCTCTTGCGCCGATAGACAAGCAATTACATTTATTCAAATCTTTTTAATCTTATTGTTACACAGATGTAACGTGTCTTATTTATGGTGAAAAAAAAATACTTTTTTAAAAATAGACTTTGCATAATTTAGAGTCAAAATATTCGCCTCATCAACTTCAGTCGACATGTTTTTATAATGTAAATATTGCATTTGAGTTGATTACTTTGTATACTTAAATTAAAATGTACAATTAAAACCATCCCCAACCAACCCCAGATCGATCTTCTTTAAACATTTAAATAATCAAAATAACTTAATGAACATGCATAAGTTGTTGAACTAATAAAAAACTTCAACACCTTGATTCACTATAGTAAATACTTTGAACTTTGATTTACTATTGTGAAAACTTTGGAACTTTGATTTACAATAGTAAAAACTTTGAAACTTTGATTTACTAAAGTGAAAACTTTGGAACGTTGATTTACTATAGTAAAAACTTTGAAACTTTGATTTACTATACTGAAAACTTTGGAACGTTGATTTACTATAATAAAAACTTTGGAACTTTGATTTGATATAGAGAAATCTTTGGAACTTTAATTTACTCTAATCAACTATAGTAAACTATAGTTTACTATAGTTTACTACAGTATTTTTTTGGTACGGATCATTCAGAAGAGAAATCTTAATTCATATACATGTACATGTGAACAACCTGACATGATACTTATATAAATAACATGAATAATTTAATTTTAGTTGCAACAGGTCATTTGATTGATTTAGTTTAAATGATTGCCTACGTCACAATGAGTCACGTCAAAAATGTATTACTCCGCTTGATAGTAACTTTGAGAATATGCTCAGTTTAAAGCCATTATTGGAGGAAAATGTTTCTTATTGTCTACACTGAAATTGAATTATCAGGAACGAAATTTATTTTAATCTATGTTAAACGATATAACATAACTTGAGGCAGTTTATGCTTTTCGGCTATAGGCGTTGAGCTTTTCTGAAATAAAGTTAGATATTCTTTCTCCTTAATTTCATCCTCTCTCTCTCTCTCTAATAAGAATCTCGTTATATCGTATAACACAGGATAAAATATGCTTTATGCCTTAAATAACTACACAGGAAATTTTCCCGTATACATATTGCGATAAACTATAACTCTTATTTTGATCAATTAATCTTAAAACAAAGTGTCACTTGTGATTTCTTTTTATATTGTAGAGGAAAAGGATGGGACTTGTCCTTGGTTTAATGGAAACGACTTTCTACAAATGGGACCTACTTGCAATTTTGACAAGGATTGTCACGGGTCACAGAAATGTTGTTGGAATTCTCACTATGGAAGGAGATGTCAAATACCAATTCAATATCGAAAACCCGGTAGATGCAATACTTTCCTTATGATGTCTCCTTCTCGACCAACACGAAAAGCATGCAATGATGACACCCTTTGTCCTGGAAGCGGGAAATGCTGTAGACAATTTTCATCTGTTCAAATTGACACTTGTACTTTCTTCACCACCTCTCGTCCTTTCTTCGGTGGTTCATTTGGTCCTGTAGGCGGTTCATTTGTAATGTAGGCGGTTCATTTGGTGGTCCTGGAGGCGGTTCAGGTGTTGTAAGTCCTCTGCTTCCAGTACTCCCTCAAGGATCCCTCAAGAAAAAATACTGAATGTCTGCTGCTCATTTCTCATATCTGACACAATAAAATATCTGTTGCAAATAGATTTTTCTTTGTTTTATTTTATATATTTCTTTAGTCGACATCTGCTTCCAGTACTTCTTCATGACTCTTTTAAGAAAAAAAAATGAATTTGAGCTCCTCATTTCTCATCTCTGACACTTTTTTTCTATTATTTTGAAATACAGATTATTATTATGAAATATTCTGAAGGTTATCATTGATGATGAAAGTAAAAAAGGATTCTCTCTGAATCCTCTTAAACTTAGGCATTCAAAAGCATTCAGGGGCTTGGCCCTTGGAGAAATCTAAGGCGCCCGAGACTCCCTGTATTATAAGCTCGCCTCGGCTCACTTTAAGGTAATACGCAACGAAGTTTGAATTTTATCGGGCTCTTCCCTGGAATAAAAGAGTTCCACTTAAAGAAGGACCTGTGTGCAATTCTTTTAATGTCTGTATATGGATTTGTACACCTATTCTAAAACAAATTATGATGGAAAAAATCACGAATTTATATTTCAAAATTTTTGCGTATTTTTCTTTGAATAATGCAAAGATTTTCATAATTTGATATCCTTTCAAAACCCTTGGTAATGCGTGCTGATTTTTTGTCCATGTACATCTGACGGCACTATAATCTTGAATTAAGAAATATCTTGAAAAATTATAAGTATGTAAGGTACCTTGCGTATGTCGTTAAATCCTCTTTCCACCATTGAATGTATTAGATGTACATATCAGAGCTCTGTCAGCTAAATTCATAAAATTTTTCAAACGTTAAAAAGCCCCTAGCGATGTTTGGTATATCAGCTATAAAAAAGCAGGTTAAAAATTATACGCAATATCTAAGTCTATAATGCGCGCAAAGCTGAAGACTCGTGATCGCTATTTTTGTAAATGTTTACCTGACAGAAAATGTCCAATACACGAGGACTTTTCTATATGAAGTATAGCTGCTATCCGTCTGTTTATCTGTTTCCAATATCATCTTTCTTTTTTCTTCAAGAAACGCTGGTCTGAATTAAGTACCAAAATTGTGTGAAGAATATTTTTATATTGAAATCCCTGGTCCTTGTAGACCACAAATACTATTGCAGAGGGAAAACTCGCTAGGATAGTTGAAAAATATTTTTTGAAATGTTTCCAATAGAATATTATTTAAAAAAGGGAAGTTATACACCCCGGACATAGCATATATTTTTTGTGATTTTTTAAAAAAAAATTCGGCATGTTTTACATGTATTTTCAGAAAATTTATATATACAATGTACACTTTAAAAATTATATGATAGAGATGATAAAGCCAAGCTTTGTTTAAATGTCTGAACATAGCAAAATGTAGCTTAGTCCTATACATATACATAATTGTATGCTTTGATCCACGGAATTGGGTTTAGGTTATTTGATAAAACTTGAAAATGTTCAGTGAATTCATAGGCAACCTTAGGTTATGCTTTCTTAAAGTTAAAAAAAAATGCTTTGTGCCGACCTCTGATATTCAATATCCTTTATTATTAAACATAGTTTGACATGCAAGTGTATGCTAACAATACACGAGTTCCTGATTCAACACGTAGCCGTTTGTCAACGTAATGACTAAGGACCCATACATTGTGAAGATGATGAAAGGAACACTACAACATTATAATATTTTGTCAGTTGGCTATTTTTTTTTTATTTTATTGCAATAAATTAAATAAAGATGCTCGAATATCTAATTGACAATATCTATGTGGCTTTTTTACACCAGGTCTCTCAACAACTTATAGGAATTCCAATGGGTATCTGCTATAAGCAACCCTATTTTTTGTATTCATATGAAGCAGAATTTGTTCAAAATATGGTACGTGAAAAGAAGAAAACACTCACTGTGGCCTTTAGACATTTAGATAAATTGACGACGTATTGTCAATTATCAATAGTTACATGTATTTCCATTCTAGTGTCGACACGATATATCCTAGTGAGCTTGAAACAAAAAAGACCACAAAGTCTGTCATATCTGTTCCATATTTGGATCTTTAACAAGAAAAGACGTTAATGGTTATCTAACAACAAAGATTTATGATAAACTTGATTACTTTAATTTTTCAGTCGTCAACAAGAAAGCTTTATGAAAAACGTTTTGACTTTACTTATTACTTATGCAGCAATATACCTTTTAACATGCATACAGAATTTATATATTTCAGTTGATTCGATTTGAATAGCATGCTCTACGTATGAAGTATTTTCTATTAC